TTTATAGTGTATAGCATGTTAGTGTAAAAATTAGCATTATATAGAAAAATTGCGATTTGTGCAAATTACATAATGAAAATGTTTGATAATAAAAAGGCAAAACCGGAAATTGGCAAGCGGCTCTCTATAGAGTATAGCCGAAGTCTACCTTATGGGGGCAAATCACAGTAACATTGTAGTAGGAAGAACTACCAGTAACAAGCAGTAGTATCCGGTAGTAGCTGAAATGACTAGTAGCAGAACACAGTGAAAAGTTATAGTGAAATAGAAAAAGTTTAGCTAGCCGAAAAAGGTCGTAACTGAAAATCGCAGTTACACATAGTCGAAAAAAGTGGCAACAGAAAATTCTCAGTTGCATATAGTAAAATAGTGTTAGCTAGCTGAAAAGAGTGGTAACTGAAAATTCGCAGTTACATATAGTGAAAAAGTGTTAGCTAGCCGAATAAAGTGGTAACGGAAATTTCGCCGTTACATATAGTGAAAAGTGTTAGCTAGAGGGAAAAAGTGGTAACTGATATTCGCAGTTACAAAAGTGTTAAATTCAACTAATTTAGTTGATTAATAGCTGCTAGTCAGTAGTGTTAAAAAACCAGCTACTACCAATAGATATTTTTGATACTACCAATAGAAATTTGTTACTTCCAATAGATATTCAAAATTACCAATAGATATATTAGAAAATACCAATAGATATTTTTGATACTACCAATAGAAATTTGTTACTTCCAATAGATATTCAAAATCACCAATAGATATATTAGAAAATACCAATAGAAACTTGTTACTGCCAATAGAAATTTGATATTACCAACAGATATTTTGAAAATACGAATAGAAATTTTAAAAACCAATAGAAATTTTAATATTACCGTGTGTTTTAATTAAATCTGTGTTTTGAAATATATAGTGAACAACCATAGTTGAACAACAGTGTTCAATAAATAAATAAGTTATAATATTTCGCAACTAATTAATCGGTCGAACCGCTGGCCACTCCCTTGCTATTTTAATTTATAAATCGTGCATTTTTAATTCTGAACCTCAGTCCACAGTTCTCCAACAGCATACACAAAGGCGGTAGTGAAAGTATCCTCCAGAACCTATAGGTGTAGGACGTGAGCGGCTCGCGGAGTATCTTCGACAACATTTACTCCGGAGAGTTACGCCCGTCCGGCACACTTCGTGTACCTAGGTTCAGATACCTAACATGTTGCCGTATTCATAATCACTATAAACGTACGCGTTAAGCATTATTAAAACAAAAAACGTAACAACAAGAATAATACCAACAGGTAATCACAAGTATTAACAATTTAATAAAGAAAACGATTGAGCTGTCGCTCGCGCACACGTGTACAAAATCAACACGGAACTGTTTCAAAAACTACAATTAATAACGAACCCCGACAAAACTGAAACCTACTGCGTCACAGCGTGAGGCGACACGAGCCGGCCGGGTTACATTCTGCCGTCATAATAAAGAAGGACGCAACTAACAAAAACGTAAAATGGAAATAAAAAATAAATTTATGAATTTTTCTTTCATAAAGTATATTAAAAGGTATCTATATGAAAATTGAAATATGTACGTAGAGACACGAAGATTTTAAGGACGAACTTATTTTTTTGATAATTTGTTTATTTATTTAAATAAAACGAATTTTCCTTTTCATCTTAGATTAAAAAATACACCTGGCAACACAAAAACATCGAAGGAAAGACGCATATAACTATTTGCGTCTTCCCAACCTAATAAATAAAAAAAACTGCCATTCATTTAACATTTTTACATATTTTGGAAAGGTCATTTGAAGTTGAAAGGACGCTAATAGTAATTTACTACTTTTTTCTTAGTAAATATTAGAAAAGCATTGGTAGTCAGACACAAAAAATAACAACCCGCAACTCTTGAGTAATGATTTTAAAGGGGATATCATACAAGACTTACTACGATAATAATTAAAAATTAAAAATTTTGTACAACCGACTTTAATATAAATAATTAAGGATGACTCAAAAACTATTGGTCTGACCTCGATCAAATTTATATGGGACCACATGTGAAACACCAGCTCTTAGTAATAAGCTATAAGCTCTTAATAATAAGATATAGAATAAAAAGACAAGAATAATTGAAATTTAAGTAATCGATGCAAATATTGTTAAAGATGACGTAGCCACTGGTTAAATAAGTCTTTTCTTTTATGTTGAATTTGTATAAGTCTTTTCTAATAAAAAGATGTCATCTGTGATCAACAGTTACGTCTAAAATTCTTACGATAATTTCTAAAATATTGATATTTGTGAATATTAAAAAAAAATTAGTAGATGCGCCTTTTTATCATGAGTCATGGTATATTTAACTCATTTATTCAAAAATTGTTAGATGCGCCCTTTTTTCTTACGACCGCAGCATTGTTTCGTACCGAGCTAGATACAGGTCGACAGCGGAGAGAGTGTGGGTACAGTCGCGTTCTAAAGTACTACATGGTATTGGGCTATTGTTTTATAATATTATAGTAATTAATTGTTTAATTGTAGAATCATAATAGGTGTTTTACTATTTACTTAGAACTTTGGAAGAGGTGGGAATTAAAAATGGATAATGTTTACTTGAGCATTATTTGTTATTTCTATCGTAAAATATAAAGTAGTTTGTAACAAAAAAACTTAAGCTAAGGGTGACACGCCGTCCATTATGACGTCTTGGGTCATATGAAAGTCAGATGTTGATGGTGTGTTGGTGTTACTGGATGCTACTTCATCATCACTTTCATCTTCGCTTGAGCTTCCGTCATCAGGTCGATCACATGGTAATTTTTTCGGTATTCTCCCTCAACACTTTACTGCACAATTTTCCCCATTCACCTTCTCCTATCATATTTACCTTTTCGCTCACTAGTTTAGTCATAAAACAATAGATGTAAATAATTTTTGTTTCCTTCCTTTTTAAAACATCGTCGCGAGTCGCAAATTAAGCTGTGTATGCGACTGTATTTTTGGAGCGAACAAAGCGCGGGAACCAATAGCATGCAGGCACAGTAATACTGGCGGATTGTTCCCCCGTCGCGCCCCTTCGTACCTATATGTGATAAATCGCTCAGTGCCCAAGTTTAATGCCAGCGTTCTTTTTTCACCGTTCGCGCGTACATTAACCTCCATTAGTCAGGTGATATCAATTCAGTTTCCACTGCTGGTTTTATGTTTCAGTATTTTCATGATTTTTTTTATGAAATTATAGATTCATTTAGCTGTACTAACATGATGGCGCGTGAATAAAGCTAATAAAACGTTGTAAAAATATGATTTTTTTTTCATCAGGATCAAATTTATTTGTGACCCATGATCAAAGGTATACTTGGTGCTGTCGCCTGTCTTAGTTTTCGGGAGCGTTCCAAAAATACCCTGTATAGTATGCTTATTTTTCGTCCATAAATGCGTTTCAAATAAAGCCGCGTATGGATTATGCGCTCCAAGAGGTCGAACATTGGCGCGCGTTAAATTAAAATGGGTAAAATGATATTAAATATTACAATTTTTCCTATTCGTTTTTTTTTCTTTTTCTTTTCAAGATATTAAATTACAGTTAAATGGTGTATCGAAAATGAACTTAGTTTAAAGGTAGGTCCTTGCTCTCCGAAAATTTGGGTTTGACTGACATCAGTCAGCATGAGCGTGTAATGTCGAAATTATTCTATCATGCAAACGTCAATCATGATTGATCGAATTGATTGACGCTTGCCTAGGCGTGTAATGGGCGTCTATGGGTATTAGTTTTTGTTTTCTTTTTTTTTTTTTAAAAAACGTTACCCCCACACTAGGATTTTCTCCTGTATCGCGGAGGCAGTTTACAAACACAAATTGCACAAGGACAAACATCCAGACCCGGAACAATTATTTGGAGGCCGTACAAATACTTGTTCGGTGCGGGATTCGAACCCGCGGCCCCAAGCGTTGCAATTCATTGCTAAGCCACTACGCCACGGAGCCGTCAAATTAGTGTTCTGTGATTACGAGTTGCGGCCAATGTACTCTGTGGTTGCGGCCTAAAAGTGAAACTTTGAAGGCTCAGAAGGGCTAGAACCCAGAGCCGTAAAGCCAGTTTATAAAAAAAAAAGCGAAACTGACATCGATTTTATGGAGTGTAGAGTAGAAGGAGAACCATCTTATAAGGTGCGAAAGTTGAAAAAGTGTCCCAATATATACTGAAAATAGAGGTTCCAAAACCTACCACAATAGCGCTGGCGTCTGAAAAACTACGATATGAATATAGCTGTTGTAGACGGAGTGAAGTCAGCTGAATTAAAATATTTAAAAAATTTCATTACTAGAGTAGTTAGTAAAATGCCAGTATACAAAACCTCAACTATTTACGTAGTACAAAACCAAGCGGATTGGTCGGTCCTTGTTTATTTCTCCATCTTATTCTAATAAATTTTGGCGCTTTTTTTTAAATTTATCCTATGCTACTACAGCGCCACCCTTATTGGACGCGTTTTTAGGGACACTTTTCATATACAGAGATAGTTCTCCTTCTACTCTACACTCCATAATCGATTTACAGAGTGGTCGTGAGTAGACCACAGAATACTTTACTCCTAGCGGAGTTATTTACAGATCAAACGTAACCAATATTTTTCTTTATACCAGTTTGTAAAGCACCGTCTATAGAACGATTTTTTCGAAAACTGAGAGAATTCTCAAATTAGCAAGATCATAAGAAAATCTAGAATAACATAGTAAAAAAAACAACATTGTATTTTAAAATCAATAGCTATATACAAAATCAATTGGTGAATACTCCCATGTTAGAGGTTTTCAAATAACTTGGCAATTTTGTGGTAGAAATCTGGTAAAACAAATTTCCAAATAAATAATTTTGTTACCGCGCCATCTACAAGATTTATGGAGTACTACATCGATATGAGAAGCCGACGTAGTTCTCTGAGAATTTATTCGATGGCGATGGTGTTATTACTGCCGCATAGGCCGGAGGCCCCATACCACAGCCACAGCCCCATACATTAGTTGACAAGGCCTGGAGTAGACGGACTTCTTTTTCACTTTTTTTACGAACGAAAAAGAATTAAAGAGATAAAGCGTAATGTTTGTGGTGCTAGTGCATTAAACGTTTAGGATACGTTCTGTGCGTGTTATATTAACGATATGTTATGCTGTTTATGTGCTTAGTGTGAGTTAAAACAGCTACTCGATTCTAAGTGAAGTGATACTTTGGTAACAAAAAAATCCGTACCTATAATTTTTTGTCAGGAGCCGCCTGCCGGTAAGTATTTCTTTCAGATATTCCGTTAATGCCTAAATATATTAATAGTCATATTAAGACCACATTATTTTGCGTTTCAAAAGCATTTTTGCATTCTGGGTTTGGGTGTGTCTCATTCGTTCATAGATCTAATTGGGTCGTTTTTTTTAGTCCAGCACGCATTGAGACGCCTTATTTCTGGCGGTGCGCTGCTTTGCAACTATTTTAACGTTTATTTTTTCTACTTTTAATAAACGCTTGTTTTTTTTCTCAATATATACGTATTTCTTATATTTGATGTACTAAATGAATTCATCATCATCATCATCATTACAGCCTTTCATAAGTTCACTGCTGAACATAGGCCTCCCCCAAGGAATGCCACAAAGCACGGTCCTGAGCCACCTGCATCCATCGACTTCCTGCATGTCTTACCAGGTCGTCACTCCATCTCGTGGGGGGTCAGGCTTAGCTTTCCATTGACTCCCGTCGAGTTGGGGTTTATACGTATTTTTATAGAAAAGTTACACTATTATAAACACACACACAAAGTTACAACATGCGGAAACGCTTAATTTTTGAGAAAAAAGTTATTGAAAATCAATTATTCTTGCATTGTTTATATCTAATCCTACCATAAAACTGACGCCATTTTGTAATGTCATTGTCGTCAGTAGGGATGTCGATTCTTTCCGTAAAGGGTCGATTTTTAAATCGATTCAAATCGTAAGCTGATGTATCGATTCATAAAAAATCGATTTCTAAAATATCTATATTTTTTTATGTTTGCATTTATAAATTTATAATGTAAATATAATTCCATTTTATGAAAAACAAGAAAGATACCATAATAAATGATCTCTAATTGAATTTTGTTTTATTTTCACAGTAACAATTAGGGCAGATAACAAATAAAATAGGTTAGGTTCAACTTATGTCAAAGAACCGAATTGATTGACCCCGACTCCACCTGGTACGAGTCTGTCCTACCCCTAGAGTGGTTTTAAAGAGTCGGAGGCGCGTAGGGGGAGCAGCCTCCGCCTGCTGTAACAATGCGGAGGCGAGGAGGGATGCCTGCGTTTTTGTTACGCTAAGGCGTAGAGGCTGCTCTTCCCGCAGCGCCGGAGACGTAGCAGTCTCAAAATAGATACAGAAATCCTTCTGATTCAGTCCCCCTATATTTTATGATGAAGGGGATTTTTTTTCTCATAAAATTGATTTATGAGAAAAAAAATCCCATGTGGTTTGGCCATGTAGAAAGAATGAATGAGGAAAGAGTGACAAAGCAAATTTATGTTGCAGAGGTGAACGGCATAGTCGGGAAGGGTTGCCCTAGGCGAAAGTTTATCGACCAAATTGGCGATATATTAAAAATGGGCCAAATCAAGAGTACCTTTAACCGACGAGCGTGTGTAGGTATATGCGTAGGTATATGGATGTGGAGGAAGCGAGAGAGGTGTGTCAGGATCATGCCAAATGGAAGTCCATAATCTCTGCCTACCCCTCTGGGTGACAGGCGTGAGTGTTTATGTATGTATAAATGCAAACATGAAAAAAATATAGATATTTTAGAAATCGATTTTTTGGGAATCGATACATCAGCTTACAATTCGAATCTATTTAAAAAATCGATCTTTTTCGGAAAGAATCGACATCCCTACTGACAATAACAATAAAAAAATGGCGTCAGTTTTATTGTAGGATTAGACACAAACAATGCAAGAATAATTGATTTTCAATAACTTTTTTCTCAAAAATTACGCGCTTCCGCATATTGAAACTTTGTGTGTGTGCTTATAATAGTGTAACTTTTCTGTAAAAATACGTATCAATCCCCAACTCGATAGGAGTCAATGGAAAGTCGTACCCTAGTTTTCAATCCAAACGTCATCCTTGACTTTGGACTTGACAAGAAAACTATTGATCCTAACAGCAAATTAAAGAAAATCATCTCAGAAAATTGGCAAGACTGGATCATAATGTACATAGATGCGTCAAAAACTTCTAACAAAGATTGTGTAGGTTCTGTAGTTTGGATCCCTAAATATAGAATAATATTAAATTTTAAGTGCCCACCTGAATCATCAGTTTTCACAGGTGAATCTATTGCCATCTTAGAGGCAATTCTATATGCCGAATCTCACAACCTGGAAAATACTTTAATTCTCTCTGACTCCCTTAGCTGTCTCCAAACCATTATCTTCAGCTCCTTCCACTCTAAATCAAATCTTTTCCCTATCCTCTTTATTAAAAAAGCATTATATAATTGTCACAAAAAAGGCCTAAAAGTTGTTTTGGCTTGGATTCCAGGCCATTCTGGGATACGTGGTAATGAGTGTGCTGATTTCTTGGCTAAGAAAGCAACACAAACAGGTATCCTCTCTCAGTATCAAATTTTCCCCCATGACTTGCTTCCACTAGCAGGATCTGACTTCATGGCATCTTGGCAAGGTCTCTGGGACCAAACTAAAATCATAAAATGTAAACACTACGCTCGGGTTCAAGACACAATCCCATTCAAACCTTGGTTTTTCCATTATCGTGAAGCTAACAAATTTACTACATCAACCATTTGCCATCTTCGCTTTGGTCATTCTTGCACACCGGTACACCTAGCCAAATTAAGGATAAGGGATAATTCTTTATGTGAATGTGGTCTTGATGAAGGTTCAACCGATCACATATTTTTCGAATGTCCTCGACTCAAGTTCTCATTGTATGATATCCTTCCTCAAAACATCCCTCGTCCTACTAACTCTACCTGTCTGCTGTCTCTCGTGTTCTCCTCATTTGTTCATATTTTATGTGATTTTATTTATACTAATAGTATTAAGTTGTAACATAAAACTAATCATTGTTGGTGGTAGAATTATAAATGTTTGTGTTGTCTTTTGTTGTAGATTAGAAGCCAATCACAAAAAAAAAATTTCAAAAAAAAATTATTTACCTTGTTGTCACTCCCATGACTGACTTGACATTGGCAGAATTCTTATAAGAGAAGCCAAAAAGTAAAGAAGAAGAAGAAGAATGAACCATTAATAGGTACGGAAAAAACGCAAAATGGTGCCTACTTCTTTTGGTTGGTTAATACCTTGACCAGTAGGTACACAACGGGAGTACAATTTACAAAGTTGAAAACGATTTGATTGCTATCGATGATTCGGTCTGAGATTTCAAACCAATTAACAATTTATATGTCGTGTAACCATTTACAAAGATTTAAAAATTGGTGTTTCATTCAGTGGCCGCGGTTTTATTGGCTGATCTGATTAAACTTTCTGGTTATCTCCAAATGGAACATTGGACTTTAGATTTTTTTCTTGAGAGAATTATGGCATAAATAAGCAATGATTAATTTTAAATCTTCTCTCTGTTATTAATTTTAATGTGTATTGTGATTTTATATAGTGATAAGACATGAATAATTGCTTGTATAATGGTACATACCACGCACTTATTGAATTGAATAATTACATATAATCACTAAGTTGTTGCTTTATACAAATGAAAATGTTTGTTCATACTATAAACATTATTGCAAAATTAGATATAAAATATAAAAGCAGTATAATTAAAAATTTTGTACAACCGACTTCAATATAAATAAAATGTAGTCAAAGTCAATTAAACGGGCATTAGTAAGGGTAACTCCAAAACTACTGGTCAAATCCTGATCAAATTCATAGGGGGCCACATGCGAAGTACCAGCATTCAAATACAGAAATAATCATCATAATCAGTCCTAGAAAAACCCTAGAAAAAAGTTATGAGGTAACACACATGAAAAAAACATAGTTGAATTTAGTGCCTCCTCCTTTTTGAAGTCTGTTAAAAAATAGTGAAACAAAAATATGTGTGTATAAAATATTTGTGTGTCATGTAGAAGCACCATCAAAGAATCTACTACACTATCCCATATTATCATCCTGTGGGTGTCGTAAAAGGTGACAGAGAAAAATTGAAACAGGAGATGAGCAGAGTCATTTTTAGGGTTCTGTACCTCAAAAGGAAAAAACGGAACCCTTATAGGATCACTTTGCTGTCCGTCTGTCTGTCTGTCTGTCTGTCAAGACCCTTTTTCTCAGGAACGCGTGGAGGTATCAAGCTGAAGTTCATATCAAATACTCAAGTCTATTGTCCCTTGGAGCTACGAAAAAGTTAAACTTCTAAGCCAACGCAATCAAAAGATACAGCCGTTTATGCTGCAAATTTTTGACATTCGCAAGGGAATCAAAACCTACAGGGTACTTCCCGTGAACTCAGAATTTTAAAATTTGGTACGAAGCAACTTATTATAGCACAGATAAAGGAAAAATTGCGAAAAGCATAAATTTTTAGTTACATCATATAACAAAAATATTTTTCATAATTTTAAAGTTATATACCTACAGATTTGTTTGGAACACTCGGTGCGCAAGTCCGACTCGCACTTGGCTGTTTTTTTTCTGATTAAAACCCAAAATAATAAAAAATGCATTGCCAAGTGTGGCAACTATGGTGCCAAGTGTGGCAACTATGGCAAAATCTTTAAAGCCTATTTACAATCCAGTTGGCCACAGGCCTCCTAATTTCTGAGAAGGTTTTTCAAAGTTACAAATGTATAGTTCTGATTGTTTATTAGTTATAGAGGCTTAAAAGTAACTCACACAATTATATTACTTATTTTATATGTTGGGAGTATAATATAAGTATTATATGCAATATGATCCTTAAAAACTAGTTTTATTTAAATAACAGTTAGTGTAAATATACAATATGGCAGATTTGAAAGATGACCTTATCACAAAAATTGATAAGGGCGTGCTTCGATGGTTTGGGCACATTGAGCGAATGAGTGAAGACCGAATAGTGAAGAAAATATATAGCGCGAAAGTTTTTTTAAAAGGTGTCGAGGTAGACCGAGACTAACTTTCGAAGACCATGTGAGCAAATTGCTCGAAGAGGGGAGGGTCAAGAGTACTCGGATACCTAGATGTGCATGTATGAAGAAGATAATGAATCTGAAAGAAGTGAAAGAGGTA